GAAGGGAAGGGAAGGGAAGGGAAGGGAAGGGAAGGGAAGGGAAGGGAAGGGAAGGGAAGGGAAGGGAATTGCTGTGTGCACATTTGACAGGATGACTCATGCTGATGATGACTGGGGACGTTTGAATTATTGAGGGCACTGCAGGTTTTCCAGCTGAGGGGGGCACAAGGGATGCAGAACTGGGAACAGGGAATGCTCAGGGGCACAGGGGGAGCACTGGGCTGGTCCTGGCTCCCCTCAGCAGTGCTGGGAAGGTTTGGGTTTGGGTTAGGGATGAGTCCCAGCTCTCACCTCCTCCATTCTTCTGGCACAGGTAGGGGAAGCGCCAGACGTTGCCCAGCCCCACGGAGTAGCCGATCTGGGCGAGGATGTACTGGAGCTTGCTGTTCCAGGCCGGCCTCTCCGCATCCAGGTCCTCCTCCCCTTCCTTCTGCTTGTCCCAGCCCTCCCCTCCTGTCACGTTGAGGACGCTGCGTTTGTAGTCCACGGGCTCCTGGTGGGCCAGCAGGTCAGCCACCGACTCGGTGACATGCTCGCTGCTGTGCTCCCGCTGCGTCACCTTGCTGTTCTTGGGCATGGGGGCGGCTCTGGGGGGCCCCCAGGGGTGGAGGGGTGGGATGAGGTGAGGGAAGGAGATGAAGGTCCCACGGGGAGCAGCGCCGGTGTGAGCTACAGCTCAGGCCTCACCTCCTCGGCATCGGCGGGACCTGCGTGGGGAAGGGGTCCAAAAAAGGGGGGGGGGGGGGGGTTGTGTATCCTCTGATGGGACCACAGCGCTGGGGGAGAAGGGTTTCCATCATCCCCTGCCTTGGGGGCCTTCATCTGAAGCAGGAGGGTGCCTTTCTCCGTTGCAGAATCCCAGGATGGTTTGGGTTTGGAAGGGACCTTAAAGATCCATTTCCACTCCCTGCCCTGGGCAGGGACACCTTCCCCCAGCCCAGGTGGCTCCAAGCCCCATCCAACCTGCCCTTGGACACTTCCAGGGATCCAGGGGCAGCCCAAGCTTCCCTCATTTATGGAGAAGGGCCTCCTGTGACCCACAGCAGGGAATTCCCCTGAGCTCCAGAGGGCAGGGAGAGGTGATGGAGCCACTCACATCACTGTGACACCTCTCGCCCCTCTAACACCCCCAGGCAGCAGCTGAACCTCACAAAGTCCAACCCCAAATCCAGCTCTGGCCAAGGTCCTGCCCTGCTCCCTCCCCTCTTGGCCACTGGCAGAGCCCCTGGAGAAGTTCCAGGACAACTTGGGAGCTTTCAGGGGGCAGTGACAAACACCCAGGATATCTCCCCATCCCTGGACATTATCAGGAATGATATAAAAACCTTGGAGCCTGATGGTAAATCTTGCCAGGCAGCTTTAGAGCAGATAGCAGCCAAGGCAAAGCCAGCAATCCCAGCCCCTCCAGCCTGGGCAAAGAGGAGTGAAGCCCTCCAGGTCTTCCCCCTCAACTCAGATATCTTGGGAACACTGTGGGAATCTGCTCTGCTGTGCTGGGGATCCCCAGCCTGGGAAAGCACCACATCCCTCCTGTCCTTACTGGGAGAACTGGGGTTGGGCTGGCAGCTCCCAAACCCAGCTGGGATTTGTGGTTCCTAACCAGGTGGGGGGAAAACACAGGAAACCCCACAACAAACCCCTCATCTTGCAAAAATGGCACTCTCTCTCTCTCTCTCTGTCCTGAAGAGCCAGGATTCCTGCTTTCCCCCCTTCTCTCCATCCCTGTTTCCCAGGGGGACACAGGGCTGGTTGCTGGGTCCTGGCAGAGCTCTGGATGCCACACCGAGGGAATGACACCCCCTCCCAACCTGGGGGCTTTCTCAGTCACCTCAAAGCTCCTCCAAGCCCCAGTGACCTCTCACAGGTGACGTGTCCCAAACAGCCCTGGGGAAAACCAACCCCCCAGTCTGGGGGATGGATAATGTAAGGTGGGCCTCCCGCTGTCCCTTCTGCCTCCAGGATTCTCCAGAGCGTTTCCCAGCCCTTCTTGCCATCGGGCAAACATTTTGGATCCAATCCAGCCCCCCAATCCCAGCCCTTTTCGAGGCAGCAGATTCAGCCCGGGCAGCACAGCCCGTTCCCCACCAGGGCACTGATGTCCCCACACGGAGCAAAGCAGCAGCAGCAGGAAAACCTCACCCTCCCTCGCCTTCACCTCGGTGGTTTTTTTCACCCCTGAAGAAAGTTCCCCCTTTGCCAGACCTTGTTCCTATTACAAAAAAAAAAAAAAATCTATTTTCGGCTGTCGGCTGCATACGTTGCCAGGCAACCGTCTGGGCTCCACATCTTTCCTGGATCCGGCTCCTCCGGAGGAGCCGTTTAAATCATCCTTTCAAGCCTGGGCCGGCGATGTTTAATTTCCTAACGAGGGCTCATTCACAGAATCCGCTCGCGGCTCGATCGTGGCAATTTACGGGCACGCGGCGGCCCCGGGGGCTGGAGCTTCTCAGCCGGGGAGGGGTCAGGAAATCGCTTGGATTTCCATCGGGCTGCACGTGGATTCGGGCAGAGCCGGCTGAATCTCCCACGGGCTTTTTGCTGCTCCTTGTCTGCTCGGCCGCTGCTTCAGCTCCTCCGACCTCGGAGCATCGGGAGGACTCGGATGATGATCCTTTGTATCGGGGATAGAGCCAAGGAGGGGCTGGCTGAGCCCCAGACAGCAACATTCCCAAAGGATTTGGGGTGTCCACAGGGGTGTTCAAAGGGACCAAGGCTTCTCCAGACACTGGGAGGAGGGTGAAGGAGCAGGAGGACGAGTCTTCCTTGCCAGGGGAGAGGCACCCAAATTAAACTAGAGGGGGGAACCAAATGCTGATCCTGGAGTGGCTCTGGCACACTTGTCCCCACGGCTTTCTTGGGAACATCCCCGTGGCTCAGCCCCAGCCTGGGCATGAAGGTGTTGCCAAGGCCTGAAGGAGGAAGAAATCCTTCCCAGCAGCGTTGCCACGAGCTCACCCAGCCTTTGCCATCCACACCCCTGCTGGAATTGTGGGATGATCCCAGCGTGGAGCCACCAACCCACCCGGCACAGGAACACTTATCCAAGGTGTTTTCCTGCTCCTTCCCCCAGCATTTCCCAGCAGCCTCGAGGTCCCCACCCCTCAATCAAAAAAACAAAAAAGCACAATCCAAAGGCATCCTGGGGACGCATTTCCACGCATCCCTTTGATTGAAAAGGGGATTCAATCAAAAATCCATCCGCCAAAAATAACAACCACCCCGTGAGAAAGACCAGGCAGATCAGCTGACAACCAGGAGCTTTCCAGGCTGGAGAGAGATAGAAAACCCTTGGCACTGACAGATGGAGGTTCAGCTTGTTTACTTAGCCCTCGTGACCTTAATTTTCTTAAATGTGCATTTTTTTTCTCTCTCTGTGGAAGGAGGACGAGGGTCTTTCAGAGCAGTCGCCTCACTGGTTACGTTTGCACCCACAGCTTTGCCCAGGTAAAACCAGCGCTGCTGCCACCCAGCTGGACAGGGAAGGTGGATTTTCCCGCAGCAGGAGCAGGGAAAGGACCGGTTTGTGCAGCCAGAACATCCCACGGGAGTCACAAGGGGAGACACTGAGACCCTTCCCCGGGGATAACTCCCCTCCTCCTGCTCCACGTCCCACTTCCCTGCTCCCAGTGGGTTCCTTCGTGTCCAAACCCTTGCAAAGCAGCCATTCCCTAAGGCCTGGTCCAGGAACTGAGCCTGGGGCTCCAGTTTGTGCAAAGTGACACCCTCCCATCCCTGTCCCCTGTCTGGGTGACACCCTCCCATCCCTGTCCCCTGTCTGGGTGACACCCTCCCATCCCTGTCCCCTGTCTGGGTGACACCTTCCCATCCCTGTCCCCTGTCTGGGTGACACCTTCCCATCCCTGTCCCCTGTCTGGGTGACACCCTCCCATCCCTGTCCCCTGTCTGGGTGACACCCTCCCATCCCTGTCCCCTGTCTGGGTGACACCTTCCCATCCCTTGTCCTCCAGTCCAGGTCACCCTATCCAGGTGACACTCCCCATCCATGTTTCCCTGACCAGGTGACACTCCCCATCCCTGTCCAGGTGAGACTCCCCATCCCTGTCCTCCCACCCAGGTGACACTCCCCCCTCCTTGTCCCAAATCCAGGTGCCACTCCCCACCCCTGTCCCCTGTCCAGGTGGGTCCACAAGCACCACATCCCTTGGGACTGAGCACAGGAGCCCCCCCTGCAGCAGATCCCAAGGCACGTGGTTTTCCAGGGATTCACCCCACGCAGGGCTGAAGGAGCTCCGGCCCTGCTGCACCCCGAGGCCCCCACTGATCCCAGAAACACCCACCGGGGAGAAAAGCTGCTGTTTGGGGTCAGTGAAACCCCCCAGGAGCCAAGGGCACCACGTCCCTGCAGGGGCACCCTGAGGGGCTCGGGGGGAGGGATGTTGGGAGCTGCCAGATCCTGCCTCGGCTTCCCGGGGCTGGGGAGCCATAAACAGGCTGGAATTGTGTCAGCAAAGCTTTCAGCTGGGCCTGGGAGAGCAGAGACAGGCAGGGAGGACAGGGGGAGTCACGGCAGCCAGCAGCAGCCAACACAATCTGGGTCCAAAGGATGGGATGAGGGGAGATTTCTCCTCCCCCCATGCCCAAATTCGACATTCACCCCCCTGTTTGGGTCTGTAAGGGGAAACTGAGGCAGGTAAAACCCACAGGGTGGGGTTGAGTGAGTTCAAAATGAAGATTTAAACCCTTGGGGGGGG